GTTGAAACCAAAAGGCTGTAGTAAGATTAATAGTGAAATCTATTTCTAAGTGTCTTACAAGAGCCTTTTGGAAGCCATTTCTTATGTTTGTGATTTTTTTTCTTCTCTTAATTGGGTTTAGGGTGAATGATTGCTTGTGCATCTTGTATTAGGAGGATCATTAGCTTAATCACATCCATTTGGCAACCCGTTTCCCTTGTCTTTATAACCTTTCATGTTGCCGTAACACTCCTATCTCTTCTTTCACTGTTCAAATTGATGGTCAAGGTTCTTGGAACATGTTCTTACATAGAAATATTAATGGTCAAGTGTTATCGACATATTTATAGGACTTAAATAAGAGATTAAAGTTCAATTAAATATGGAATCTTAGTTAGTATTAGATTTCTAAATAGTAAACATAGAATCATAATTAGTATTAGATTTTTAAATAATGTATGATTTTCTATTAATATTGGATTCTTAAATAGTATAAGATTTTTAATATTTTAATAAAATATTTCTAATTAGATTTAGATTGTAATTAAATTAAGATTCTTAAATAAGAATTGTAATCTATATATAAAATGGTATGCTTACTATTAATAAAGATAAGTCAGAATATTATTTTAAATTATGATATTAGAGTTTTCTCTAACGGTGTTTAAGGTAAAAACTCGTTTTGATAAACTCACAATTGACAAATTGATGAGAAGGGGTCACATTATGGTCAACAGGTGCTACCTTTGTATGAACATTGCGGAATCTTGCAATCATCTTCTTCTTTGGTGCCCGGTGCCGTATAGTTTATGGTATATGGTGTACAACTTATTGAGTATCAATTGGGTGATTGGAGACTCGGTTAAGAATGAATTGTGCGCTTAGGACGGGGTGGGGAATAGATCCATTTTTTTTTTAAATAAGGTGGGGAATAGATCCATGTTTGTTAAAATAACTTCTTTATCTATATTTGGATTGTTTGGAAAAAAAGAACAATAGAGCATTCAATGGGTATGCGAGGGACATTGATAAAATTAGAGATAGATGGTTAGCTACTTCTGGGAATCTTATTCTTGGGCATGATATGTGTGGGTGAGATGGTTTTGGGAGGGTTTTGGATGCACTAACTGATTTGTAAATACTTTTGTATAAGGGCGAAAACCTCTTTGGTGTCATATACGTTATACATATGTTTTGATTTCGAAAAAAAAAAAAAGCATAACACCCACAGTCCAGGCAAAACAGTGTCTCTCCAGGAATTCCTCACTCCCTCATTCCTCTAATTTTAAAGATTATCTCAAAAAGCATTCAGTAGGGGGATATCCAAATTAGGACAAAGTATGAAAAAAAAATCATTGGCCATAGCTCCCAAGCCAAATTGCAGTGAAGGGTGAGGTGGCCATGGGATTCATTTCTCATAAAACAACATTTTAGAGTAAAACTATTGATTACAGAAATTTTCAGAAAATTACCTGAGAACTTTGAATCTTCAGCCCTTTGGATGACAATTCGAAGTGTTTTTGCAAATATAGATTTTGGCAATCGCCTCTTGCTACCAGATATTTCTAATGACACGCATTGGATAAGCAATTTGACAAGAAAAGGCCATGTTTCAGCTGCAAAAATAATTAAAACCTCTCAGTCTGCTCCCAAATAAGGGTTGTTTTATATAATTTGTAAAAAAAAAAATAGAAAATAGAGATCATAGAATTTGCAAAATGATCATTGAACTTACAAGTAGGAATTTCATCTGGCTTAAGCCTTGAGGTATTCTGTGCAAGAAATTTGCAGAATCCGATTGATCTTTCACCTTCTAACCATGTATTCAACAATTTTATTCCCTCCTAATCAGAACAAAATATCAATATTTGATTTAGCTACAAGGGAAAAGAAGAACATAGCAAAATAAAACAAAAAATAATTAAATTCATTTTTCATTTTAAAAAAAGGAATTATTGTCAAGAAATACTCCTAGCAAAGAAAAAGAAAGATAAACTGCTCCTCAATTAATAAAATGAAGAAAGATCATGGAGATCCTCCTAGCAGAGAAGAAGAAAGACAAAACAAAAGAAAAATTAACACAAAACTGCTCCCTAATCTATTTGCAAGACAGACAAAGAGATATCCCAAACTCTGAGAGAGAAAGGACAAGATCATTCCAACAGAAGCAAAAGAGGTAGTAAAGGGGCCTCACAGAGACTTCCAACTCTTTCCAACTATAGCATCCACAACCTGGCAAAGACTGCCATGAGCAAGACCAGTCCCTTAATTCAACAATATGACTCCACTAAATTCATTTTCTTTTCATTTTTAATCCAGAAGACCAGAATCAGAAAGAAGAACGAAGTCTCAAACGAGACTAGAAACCAATCAAGTATGAGCTGGATATTCTTAGGGGAGTTTTCCGGTAGCTGCAATAGTGTAGACAAGGAAAAACCAGAAGAAAATAGGTTAATCAAACTAGTTTTCCTTTTAAAGCTTTCTCCGACGAATTTAAGAAAAACACATCCGAAAAATCCACCACCACTCTTTAACATTTTCGAAAGGAAATAAAAAGCCAAACAGCGGATAACACTCTTAATGCAACAACCGAAAGATTGAACTGATCTTACTTTTATTTACAGCCAAAAATGAAAAGTAGATAACAAGGCAGGAACAATGCATTTTACTCATTTCATTGAGTTTTCTTGCGCAACAAACATGACGGAGAAATAAATTAAATGAAAAAGAGAAAATAAGTTACTTCTCGAGCTTTGGCTTTATCGGATGATAGCTTTGAAACGATTTCTTGAATGTCTCTGGAAGTAACCATTGCCAACCTTTTGCTGAGCGAATGATAGCTTGAGCGGGAAAACCAGTAGGTGTGTAGAGTCGACGACACACAGCGAGAGGGGGAGTGTATTTATTTGGCGGCCGATTCTAACGTGTACCGTTTCAAGGTTATGACCAGGTCTACGAGCATCAAGCAGACAAAACTTTTAACATACGCTTATTTTCTAACGTGCGCTCAGGGAAACAAAACAAGAATTTTGTCTCGACTGTTCATTTCTGACTATCAGACATGAATTTTTTTTTTTTTTTTTTTTTGTTTTTGCTGAGATAATTCTTAATTTTTATTTTAGAATTTATAAAGTTTCCAAAAAAAAAATGTTTTTATTGAAGAAACAAAAAATATTAAAGTATTCGTTGAAAAATACAAAATGTGGATATATATTTCTTGCGAATGACGATGTCCTCCTGATAATTTGGTATTATGTAAGCATTCGCTTATTAAGTGTAAACCAAAATATTTCTTAATTAATTAATTAAATATTATTGTTGTGATTTTATCTTATCATGTTGAATAATGTATATCTTTTGAGTTATTATTAATATATTCATTAAGTTATATTAAATAATAAGTATTGGTATAAAATAAAATAAAGTCTGGTTGAGAAAACTAATTATTGATATTTCCATCAACTTGGCTAAAAACATAGAGAATTGAAGAAAAAATATATTCCTTAATTATATTCATAAAAAGAACAATTTAAGCATCCTTTTGTTATTTTCATTAAAAAAAAATGATAGTTTATAAATTATATGTAACGACTCCGGAAATTCAAAATGAAATGTATATAAAGAATATAAGTGCTGAAGCAAAATAAAAGATTTAGGTTAATATCCCTTATAATAACTTAAAAATACTAAACAATATCAAAATATAAGTTCTTTAAAAGAAATACTAAAAATGAAAGAAGTATAAAGAAAACTATAAGGCATCTATTATCTACTCGTCGTCTTCTTGTGGATCGGACTCGGGAACCAAGTCATCCTGATTTGAAATGGTTAAATAAAGAATGAGGTATAGTAGCCCAATAAGGACATCACACTATTTACCGTCACATAAATAAAGGTTGATAGAAAATCAAAAACAACCAATGGAGCATAATTTTTAAACAAATTCATTTTTTAAAAATCAAACCATTGCCTCAGTGAGATTTATAAAAAACGACCCATAGAAACAATAACATCATAAAATATCATGAATTCATAAAAACTCTGTAACATAGCACACGTCATACTTTTATATTTCAATCATCAAACAACAGTTGCCCCCTTTTCATCAGTCTACTTGTATCCATAGGAACCCATAGGGGTCCCCGCTACACGTGAACCCATCCCTTAACAAACTTAATTCTTGGGGCCGTCCCCATACCCTGTCATGTATGGGCGCCAAATAATAAACTATTCCATTCGGTATAGGGGTGAAGTGGGTCGTCCTCATACCCCGTTTGGTATGAGTGCCAAAATATTTAAAGTCTTCATACCCCGTCCGGTATGAGATAACATTCTCGGTAGGGTTCCTTATGAACCCGGTCCGTCCACCATCTCCCAAGATATCTAGTGAGGCTGTCAATTTATCCATTTATCAATTCACACTCCTTTTCTATTATTTCTTAGCTTTCCGTTTTCTACATAAACATGAATACTAAAGCAATTAACGAGCATCCAATAAGGCAAACATATCATTAGATTCATAAAATCAGGCCGAAATGAAATAAGCAGTGATTCATGCATTCAAACCATAGAATAAAATAAACCATATACCATAATGCATTTAAACTGTAAAATAAATCAAATAGGAACTGACAGATAAATATGTCCGATTCGGGCTCTATTAGCAACCGTAATTCATTATGCATATTTACTCAATTTGTACAAAATACAGTTTTATCATTTATTCAGACTTCAATCCCGTGATAGAAATAGGGTAAGGGGTCCTTACCTGATTCGACGTCGAAAATTGGATTTTCACTGTGCCTACGGGCAGTCCCTAAATTCCT